CCCAAGGGATGGTAGGAAATCGGCAGGAAAAGGGGTAAAAAAGGGAGGGATAACGGGATACCTGACGGGAGAGCGCCTGGCCGGGGCTCGGGGCAGCATCTTCCTCACCTGCGGCACCGGCCCGTCCCGCGCAGAGCTGGCGACACCGGGAGGGGCTCCAGCAGCGCCAAAACAGCATCGAGCCCCTTCCTCACCCATCCCCAAACTGGGGGAGTCCCCTGGAGAGAGCAGCGATGCTCCCGGCAGCATCATCCCCGCCGTGGCGGGGACCCCCGGCGCCCCCTCCCCACCACCCGCGGGGGGCTCGGGGGAAGGACGAGCTTTGCCCCGAGCCCCGGGACCCCTCCGGAGCCTGCCCCGGGCGGGGAGGGGGCTCGGGAGCCGCTTGGTCCGTGCGCGGCCCCGTGGGACAAAAGGGGCGGAAAAGCCGTGGGAAGTGATGCGGCGGTGACGCGTCCTGGCGTGACGTCACGCCGGGTTTTGGGGCGTGACGTCACGGCGCGGCAGCAAGCAAGCAAGCACCTCGCTACGAGCCGCGCGTTTGTGGCTGAAAAGACTTTATTGGGGGAAAAGAAATCAAGGGGAAGGGGCTGCGCCAGGCTGGGGACCGGCCCCGGGCTGGCGTGACGTCATGGCGAGAGGCGTGACGTCATAGCGAGAGGCGTGACGCAATTCTTCCATCCGGGTGCGGCGGTGGGAGCGGGACCCCTCCCGGTCCTACCGGCACCGGCCGCCCCGCAGGGAGCGGCGGGCCAGGCGGGTGAGCAGCACCTTCACCCGGCCCCAGTGCGAGCGCCCGTCCTGCCGGGAGAGCGGCGTCAGGGGCGGGTCCCGGGGGCGCCCCGGGCCTCCCCGAGCCCCCCGGCCGTACCTTGTCCGGTGGCGGGACCCCCGCCCTGCCCTCGGAGGGGTCCAGCAGGCTGGGGGAGCTCAGCGAGTGTCCGCCCAGCCTCCGGCACGGCCCGGGCTCGGCTGCTGCAAGGAGGGGAACGAAGCTGGTCAAGCTGAAGGGTTGGGGTGGGCATCGTGCTGCCACGGTCCCGCACGCTGCCCCCATCCCCGCATCTCCCGGTGCCGCCGCTCCCGAGCTCACCTGGCGCTTGGCTGTCCGAGCAGGAGCGCGGCCGGAACCCCTCATCCCTCCAGGCGCCCAAATCCAAATCCTGCCTCGGGGGCTGCCGGCTGGGCTGCGGGCGAGGAGGGGACGGGCGGGGTGTGAGAGCTGCGACCCCCGCACCCCCTTCCCCCCGCGAATCCCGCTCCTCCCGGCCCTCACCAGGCTGCGGGCGCAGCGGGCTCCGGCCGCCTGCCGCCGCAGGGCGCGGTTGTCCTGCTGCAGCCGCGCCAGGCGCTCCAGCATCTGGCACACCTGCTCCAGGTAGCGCAGCCCCTGCCCCGGCACCGCGGCCTGGGGGTCTCGGGGCTGCCGAACCCCCGAGGGGTCCCCGGGGGGCTCTGCCAGCTCGGCGGCGCTGGCGCTGCGCTGGCAGCGCTGCCTCCTGCTCCGCTGCGCTGCCTGCAGCAGCCTCCGGCTGGCCGAGCGGCTCCGGGCCGGCCTGGGGGGCTCCTCCCCGGGGGGCTCCTCCCCGGGGGGCTCCCCTCCGGGGGGCTCCTCTCCGGGGGGCTTCTCCGCCGGGAAACCCTCCAGGGAGAAGCTGCTCTCGGAGCCCAGCGGGGTGGAGGGCGAGTGCTCGTTGCTGGCCATCTCCACGCCCGAATCCTCGGACTCGGATTTGAGGAGCCTCCCGCCGGCCGGGGGGCTGCTGGGGGGCTGCGGGGGTCCCCGGCTGCTCATTCCCCGCGGGGGCTGCCGCGGGCTCTCCTGCAGCCGCCGGTAGACGCTGGCGGAGGTGCGCACGATGCAGCTCTCGGCCGACTCCCAGGGACCATCTGCGGGGCAAGGGAGGACGAGTGGGCTGAGCTGGGGGGTCCCTGGGAAGGAAAGTGGATGCCCACCACCCCTCCAAGCCCCCCGAACCCCCTACAGCAGCTCCAGCCGTGCCCAAGGCCGTTCTCCCCCTGCCCAGCAGCTGGGAATACTCTCCTACAACTCCCCAAAAACACAGCCGCGGCCTCCACCATCCTCCTCCTCCTCCTCCTCCTCCCAAGCTGATCTGCTGGGGGGACACCCACGGCCCCCACCCTGACCTGGGCAGGGCTTTGGAGCCAGGCTCTTCCATATCCCACTCCAGCACGGTGCCGACAGCCCAGGACACAGCGCGGCCGTGGGATCCCGGACCTGGGACGGCTCCGGGGACCGCCAGCTCCTCGCACTCGTGCCCATAGGATGGGTGGCACCGCCAGCCGGGCTGTGCCCCCCAGCACCCCGCAGCTCCAGGTGGGATCGCGCTGCATCCACGGCGAGCTCTCGGCATTCCTCGCCCAGCGCTCTCTCCCTTCCCAGCCACGCCGCGGGCTCAGGGAGCTGGCAGCGCAGCTTTGGCACCTCCTGCGGGCTGCCCACCCCCTAAAACCCCACTCGGGGGCTTGAACCCCCTCGAAGGCACTCACAGCAGCTGCACCTCCTCTTCCAGACGGCGCGGGAGCCGCCCCACATCGCCGGGAGCCGGAGCCGAGTGCCGGGCGCGCGTCCCGGCGCTCCCTTTTATTGCCACCCCGGCCGGCGACGGGCCCTGCATCCAGAGGCGCCCATTGCAGGACCGGTTCCCAACTGGTTCCTCGCAGGGCTTGGGATCGGCGATACTGGCTGGGCCAGTGGTTAAGGACTCCCTTCCCAGCCCAGCTGGGAAGGCGAGAGGGTTGTTTGGGCGCCGGCAGGCAGCCAGGTGCCGCCTGCATCCCTCCCAATTCCACAAACCTCACTCAGGGCTCCAGCGTGCTCTGAATTCACCGGCCGGGGGTCCCAGTGCTCCCAAATTCCTGCCCCTCCCGCAGCCGGCCTGCTCACCGTGCATCCCTCGGGGGCTGGAGGGGCCGAGGGGAGCCGCGGCCAGCCCCGGGACAATCCGGCCGTTCAGTGGGATTGAATCCCAGCAATGCCGGGGAGCAGCCCGCCCGCCCCAGCAGGATTGAATCCCAGGAATTCCGGGGGGCAGCCCTTCCACCGCAGCTCCGTGGCTGCTGCCAGCGTCCCAGAGCATCCCACACGCTGCAATTCCACAGGCTCCAGGTCCCCCCGTGCCAAGGCACCGCTGCCCCCGCCGCCACGGGGGCGTCACCGGAGCCCCACCGGTGTGGGGGGCACCGGCAGGGCGAGAAGGGGTCTGGGGGTCCCCATCAGCTCCTCCTGGGGGTGCCCCTGCGTTGGCAGCTCAGTCCCCAGAATCTCCCAGACGTTGCTGCTGGAGGGGTCCCGGCACACTCGGAAACGAGCCCTGGGTTTTGGGGACCCCCACGCCGCATTTGGGGACAGGCACCGGCCCATCAGCCCAAAGAGGGAAGGGAAAACCTGAATTCCCAGCGCAGCCGGTAGCCTGGGCCCCTCCCAGCAGGGAGTGGGATGGAAATCGGGGCTCCAGGGACCCCCTGTAGCACAAATTGGGGGTTCCAGGGAACCCCCGGGCTCCTTCTCGAGCACAAATTTGGGTTCCAAGGAGCCCGGGTTCCCTCTCCAGCACTGACACCTCAAAACAGAGATCCCTGAGGATCCCCTCCAGCACGATCCTCGCAGGCTGGAGACCCGAGGGACCCAGGCCAGAGCGGGGGGACCCCCGTAGCCCCGGGACCACCGACTCACCGCGGAGCGGCTGCACCGTGAAGGTTCCGCGGCGGCGCAGCATCCTCGGGGTGTACCGGGAGCGAGGGGGGTAAAACCGGGAATGGGGGGCTGGGAACCGGGCAGGGAGCACCGGGAACGGAGCAGGGAGCACCGGAGCGGCTCCTCCGCTGCTTTATGGGGCAGGGCCGGGGGGCGGCACGGCCCCGGGGCGGGGCGGGGCGGGGGGGCCGCCCCCTGCCCGGGCAGCGCCTACGCCCCCAGCCCCAGCTGTGTTATCCCAGGAGGGCTCAAAGCGTTTATTCCTCTTTTTCCCGTGTGGAGAGGGCAGGACCATCATCATCATCATCTTCATCATCTTCTTCATCCCTCCCTGGGTGTCATAGAGCCGGGGAATGGTTGGGTTGGGAAGGGACCTTCAAGCCCACCCAAGTGCCACCCCTGCCATGGCAGGGACACCTTCCACCATCCCAACCTGGCCTCGGACACTTCCAGAGACCCGGGGGCAGCCCCAGCTGCTCTGGGATGATGAATTGGGATTTCGGTGGTGAGGGGCTCACGGGAGGCTGTGGCACACCCCAAACAGCCCAGTGATCCCCCAGGAGGAGCGGAGGGGGGGTCCTGGCTGTCCCTGCTGCAGAGGGACAGGGGAAGGGCCAATTCTCTCCCCGGCCGCTGATAACAGCCAAGCCCAGATAACAGCCAAGCCCAGATAACAGCCAAGCCATCCCCGTGCAGGCGGGCACGGAGGGCGGGGAGCGGCGATAAGAGCACCTGGAGCAGGACAAAGGCCTCGGCCAACAGCCCCCAATAAACCCGGACACCTCCCAGGGAGGCCGGGAGCGGCCGTCCAGCCCCGCGGGCAGCCCTGACCTTCCCGGGAGCAGGACAAGGAGCGGCACCGGAGCATCAGGACCCCCACCCCGGGTGCAGGAAGGGTCTGGGGGGGCCCTGTCTGCACCCCAGGTTTGGGGTTGAACCCTCCTTCCCCCTGCCCTGGGGTTCCCGGCACAGAGCAGACACGGCAGTGGAGCAAATATATATTATATTTAAAGAGAATCTGCTTTAATTCCTCGGAGAAGCCCTTTGCAGTCCGTGCACAAGCGGTGCCAGCCCCTCTCCGGTCCCCAAGCGCTCAAGCCACGCCACTCCCAACGTGCCCTCGGTGTCGCCCAGGCTGAGAACTCACCCAGCTCATCGCACACGCCCACGAAGGGGCGTGCACCCCCAAATCCCGTCCATCCCCAGCCTGGCAGCGCCCCCAGCCCAGCCCCACCGCGGTGGGGCGGGACCGGCCCGGGCCCACGGGGGGATGCGGGGCTGACCCCACCGCGCGGTGCCGGGGCTCAGGAGCGGGGGGACACGGCTGTCCCCGGGGGTCCCTGGTAGCGCAGGCGGGCGTGTTTCTCGCAGAACAGCTCGTCCCCCACCCAGAAGTGGCCGCGCATCTTCAGGCTGAGGCCGCAGTCGGCGCAGGTGTAGCAGGACGGGTGCCGGTAGCGGCCGTCCTGGATCCGCACCGCCTGTGTCCTGCGGGTGTGGGACAGGGGTCAGCCGGGCCACCCCGCGTGTCCCCAGGGTCCCCTCCCACCCGGGATCAGCCACATCGCGGCCCTGGAGCCGTGGCAGGGCTGGATCCTGCCCTGGCCCCACTCCCACCCCACAGTCAGCCCCATTTTCACCCTGAAGGAGCAATGGCAGGGATGAATCCTGCCCTAGCCCCAGGACCACCCTGATTTTCACCCTGAAGGAGCCGTGGCAGGGATGGATGCTGCCCTGGGGTCCCCGGACCCCCAGCCCCACTCCCACCCCACAATCAGCCCCATCTTCACCCTGAAGGAGCCGTGGCAGGGATGGATGCTGCCCTGGGGTCCCCAGACCCCCAGCCCCACTCCCACCCCACAATCAGCCCCATCTTCACCCTGAAGGAGCCGTGGCAGGGATGGATCCTGCCCTGGGGTCCCCGGACCCCCAGCCCCACTCCCACCCCACAATCAGCCCCATTTTCAGCCCTCCGGCCGTGCCAGCTGGGGTGGATTCTGCCCCGGGACCTGTCCCACCCACACCCGGGATTATTTTCTCCCCGCCGGGAGCAATGGCAGGGACGGATCCCGCCCCGGGACACCCCCGCCCCTTTTTTGGCTTTGCCAGGAGGGATGGCAGGGCCGGGCCCGGCCCGGGACCCCCCCAGGCCCCCAGCCCCACTCACGCGATGCTGCTCCCGCACTTCTCACAGACGTGCAGCTTCTGCACCCCGGCCACGGGCTTGCGAGCACCGGCCGAGAGCCGGCTGGGGAAGGGGGCTGCGGGGCCTCCTGGGGGGACACGAGGCCATCAGGGTCCTGCCACCCCCGTGCCCGACCTCCCGCCGCCCTCCGTGCCCCGCTCACCTCCCTCCTCATCCTCCAGCGCCTCCTGGAGCAGGCGGAAGGTGCTGGATTGCCGCGGGGCCGCCCGCAGCTCCCGGTTCTCCTGCAGCATCTTGTAGACCTCCGAGTCCTCCTCCAAGCGCCTCATGGCCGGCTCCGAGCCCTGGCTGCGGGGCGCAGCCCGAGGGGAGGTTTTGGGGGGGTTCCCAGCGCCCGGATTCCGGGATCCACCCGGCTGCGCCCCGCAGCCCGTCCGCCACCTGCTCCCTCCTCCCGGGAGCTGCCCCAGCCTGCCCGGCCCTCCCACGGCCCCACCTGCCCGCAGGTGAGTTAACCCTTTCCACGGGCTCCCTCAGCACCCACGGGTGACGAACCGGCGTGGGGACATGGGGCTGGGGGCTTCCCTGCCATGGGGTGTCCCCCCCGCCAGCCCCCAGCCCGCTCCGTACCTGTGGCAGGTGCCGGGAGAGGGGGAGGAGAGGCGCCGCTCCCTGAGGCTTTTCCAGGGGTTCTGGGGGGCTCCGAGCTGCGGTGAGGGTGGGCGGGGGGCTGGAGGCAGGACGGGTCCCTGGGAGCTGCTCTGGCGGCTCGGGCGTCGCTCCTGCCAGGGGGAGAAGTCAGGGATGTCCTGGGGGCTGGGGTGGGGTGCTGCAGCAGCCCCCCAAAATGGCCTGAGGGTGCCCACAGACCCTCCCTCACCCCAGGGACACCCGGACCAGGCCCGGGGGCTTTCCCCAAGCCCAGGTCTCCAGAGGGATGCAGGGATGCTCCGTGGGGCAGCTGCTTCTCCTTCCCACCCAGGCTGGGCTCAGTGGGACCCCGCAGAGGGGCCGGGGCAGCGCCCCCACCCCACAACCCAGAGGCTGCGCCCCTCCCCTCCCTTCCCCTCCCCTCCATCTGCTCCTGCTTAGCGGCCCCGGCGAGGCCGGGAAGCGGAACCCCGGATAAGTGGAAGCCGATGTTCCCCGGGAGCAGCTGCCACGCAGATGGGAACGAATCCCCGCGGCACCGCGGGGTGGGCACAGGGACCCCCTGCCCGTGGAGAGGGAAAGGGGCAGCGCCGAGGCTCCGTGGGGTCACGAGGGACGAGCTAAAATTGGGCACGGGAGGAGCCGGGCCTTGGCCTCATCCCTGGCGGATCCAGCGCCAGCCCCGGCCGGGATGCGGGGGGAGCGGGATGGATCCCGGGGCCGCCATCCCCTCACCGCCCCCGGGATCCATCCCGCTCCCCCCGCATCCCGGCCGGGCCTTGGCCTCATCCCTGGCGGATCCAGCGCCAGCCCCGGCCGGGATGCGGGGGGAGCGGGATGGATCCCGGGCTGCCATCCCCTCACCGCCCCCGGAGCGCCGGGGCTCGGGTGGGAGCTCCGGGCACGGCACCCTCATGTCGCCAACGCTGTGGCGGAGCTGGGAGCGACCCTCCGGGGCAGGGATGGAGCCCGTGGGACAGGGAGGGACCCTCCGGAGCCGGCAGCAAGCAAACCAGGAGCTGGGGAGGAAGGAGGGAGCGGGCGGCCGGAGGAGCCAAGGGGCGGCCGGGGCTGCGGCCAAAGGCAGCTGGGAAGGGCCGCGCTCGGGGCCGCGGCGCTTCCCAATTTGGGCTTGAAAAACAAGAAAAAAGAGAAAGCGGGGAGGGAGGAAAGGAGGGAGACGCCAAGCGCGGAGCCAGCGGCTGCCCGCAGGGAGGATGGGGCAGCCGCGGCCATCCTGGGACTGAGCTCGGGGGTGGAGGAGGCGTCCCGGGCATCCCGATCCCGGTGCATCCCGATCCCGCTCCTGCGCATCCCGGTCCCTCTCCCGGGCATCCCGATCCCGCTCCCGGGCATCCCGATCCCGCTCCCGGGCATCCCGGTCCCGCTGCCGGCGCATCCCGGTCCCGGCGCATCCCGATCCCGGTGCATCCCGATCCCGCTCCTGCGCATCCCGATCCCGATCCCGGTGCATCCCGATCCCGCTCATGGGCATCCCGATCCCGGTGCATCCCGATCCCGCTCCCGGGCATCCCGATCCCGATCCCGCTGCATCCCGGTCCCGCTCATGGGCATCCCCGTCCCTCTCCCGGGCATCCTGGTCCCGCTCCCGGCGCATCCCGGTCCCGCTCCCGGCGCATCCCGGTCCCGCTGCCGGCGCATCCCGGTCCCGCTGCCGGTGTCCCACCGCGGCGGGGCCGCGCCGGGCCGCGGGTCCCTGCCCGGCCAACACCCCGGTGCCCCGGGCTGGCGGGAGCGGGGCCGGGCCTTCCCAAACTGGTTTGGCCTCCCCGGGCTGGCGCCGCTGCCAAGAGGAGCAAAACATCCCCGGGCCGGTGCGGCGGTGCCCGCGGGGCCGGGGGCGCTGCCAGCGCGGCGGGGAGGGGACACCGGCGGCACCCAGGGCAGACGGGGACCCTGAGGGACGGCGGGGCTGGGGTGGGGGTGCAGAGGGAGTGGTTTGGGGGCTCCGAGTGGGGTTGTTCGGGGGCTCAAAATGAGGTGGTTTGGGGGGGTCAAGGCAGGGGAGGTTTAGCATTGCAAAGGGGTTAGGGTTTGGTGGTTCAAAGCAGGGTGGTTTGGGGCTTAAAAAGGGGTTTGGGGGTTCAGAGGGGGGATGGTTTTCGGGTTCAAAAGGTTTTGGTGCACAGATGCCCACCCAGCATCTCTGCCTGGCCCCTGCAGCCCCCCAGCTCCCTGCTCACCTGGCAGAGGCTGGGACAGGTGAACTCCTGCTCCAAGGGCTGTGAGCTGGGGGAGGGAACGGAGACATCAGGGGGGTCCCCGGCCCTGCCCAGACCCCTCCTCACCCCCAGCCCCACACACAGCCCGCTGCAGCCTTACCTGGCACTGCCAGGCGGCTGGGTGAGGGATGCCAGGCTGGCACCGAGGGTTCTGGGGGCACTTTGGCTCTTGCTCTGCATCCACAGCGTGTCCTGGGGAGGGGAGGGTGGCACCAGCAGCTGCCACCAGCTCTGGCTGGGGGTTGGGGTGCTCGGGGGCTGCCCGGGGCTCACCTGGAAGTGAGTGGCCAACGTCTCCGCCGAGGTGTCCCCGTTGGTGTGGCTGGGAGGTGGCACCGGGGCCCTGAGGGCCAGAGGAGGGCAGCAGGGTTTGGGATCTGCCCCAGCACCCACCTCTCCCTCCCTGGCACCCAGGGCCGGGTGCCCCAGCACCCACCTCTCCCTCCCTGGCACCCAGGGCCGGGTGCCCCAGCACCCACCTCTCCNCACCTCTCCCTCCCTGGCACCCAGGGCCGGGTGCCCCAGCACCCACCTCTCCCTCCCTGGCACCCAGGGCCGGGTGCCCCAGCACCCACCTCTCCACCTCCAGCCGGAGCTGCCCGGGGCTCTGCTTGATCTTGTTCTGCGCCTCCACGTTGAGCATCTCAGCCGTGCTCTCCCCATTGATGGTGACAATGACATCCCCCGGCCTCAGGCCACCCGTGGCCGCCTTCCCGTGCTCCGTCACCTCCGCGGGGAAGGGGACATGGGACCGGCAGCCCCGCTGACCCCCCCGTGCCGTGCAGCATCCCCCGGCCCCGAGCCCCACCCTGCCGGGATGCTCCCACCCGCTGCCATCTCCAGGGCCCTGCCAGAGCAGCACCAAACCCTCTGCCAGGAGGGCACCACGGCCTTGGAAACCACACCCGGAAAAAATTCGGCACAGCCCAGCCCGGCCCAGGGGCCACAGGAGCCGCCCCCCGCCGCCATCAGCAGCCGTGGGCCGTTCCCACGGAGCAGGATCCCCCAAGGACGGCAAACAGGATCCGCTGCCCGGAGCAGCCCGGCCCGCCCGGAGCCCCGGCGGCTTCCCCGGGCCGGGGGACACCCGGGGGCTCCTACCTTGGAGACGGTGATGGGCTTCCCGAAATCTCTTCCCCCGGAGATGCGGAAGCCCCACGGGGCCGGGCCGGGCAGTGTCACCGTCACCGGCATGGCAGCAGCGGCTCCGGGTGGGCAGGAGCGAGGTGTCAGCGGTCGCAGGGGATGAGGCGGAGGGATCCCCCCTCCTCCCACCCACAGACCACACAACGAGGGCCTCCCTGTCCCCGCTGCGCCCCGAGGGTCCCCACGCCGGCAGCGCTTTCCTTCCGGGGAGGGGAGCCAGGTCCTCGCAGGGTGGCACCAGCCACCGCCGCTTCCTCTTGTCCCCCGAGGCTGGCGGCTTCCTCCCCCGGGCCGGGGGGTCCCAGGCACCCGGCGGTGCAGCTGGGACAGCCGAGGTCGTTCCCAGGAGCTGGAGCAAGGCAGGAAATCGGTGACGCCTTGGCAGCAAGGCCAGCGCTGTGGCCTGGCAGAGCCGAGCCAGTGGGGTTTGGAAGGATGTGGCAGCCAGGGACGGGTTCTGCTGCTCGCCACAGCAGGATCCGACACCCAGCGAGGGCCGGCAGCCTCAGTCCTTCATCCCACAGCAAATCCACACCGGTGAAGGACGCTGAGGATCCCCCGGGGGTGGCACGGGGTCCCCACGGCACCCCGGTGAGCGGGGCAGCCCTTGGCTCCGATGGGGTGGGTGGGAATGGGCACCTTAAATCCCCTAAATCCACACCAGGTCCCATCCCACCCATCCCACCAGAGCCTGGGGGAGCTGGGCAGCCCATCTGGAACCGGGCACCCCATCCGGCACCGGGCACCCCGTCCGCAGCCGCCGGGAATGTTAAAAATCCCAAGAGCACAAAGAGGGGCTTGAGAGGCTGCCCGGAAGAATTTCCTGGGCTGGGCTTCCAGTGCCGGGAGGAAACCCCAAACCCCCTCCCCATGCCCAGCCCCGCTCAGCATCCCTGGGCAGCGAGGGCTGCCAGCCCCGGGACCCCCATACCCAGCTGGGCACCCACCCCAGACCCCCCCCGACAGCCCTGCGCCTTTTCTCCGGACCCTGCACCCCTTCTTTAGACACTGTCCCCCACCTCTCCCTTATGTCCCCTTCTCCTGCACCCCTCCTCCATCCCTGCACCCCTTCTCCAGTCCCTGCACCTCCCCTTCGTGTCCTGCGCCCCTTCTCCATCCCCGTCCCCGGCTCTGTCCGTGCTGCCCTTCTCCACCCCCTGCCGCCCTCCTCGGCCCCCCGCACCCCACCTGTGTCCCCGCTCCCTCCCGGCTCTGTCCCCGCCGCACAGCGACGTCTTTGTGCCCGCGGCGCCTGGCGGTGCCGCCCGGCACCCGCGGGGCGAGCGGCGGGGACGGGCGATGCCAGGAGGCGCGGGGACGTGGGGACACGGCGACTTGGCACCCGCGAGGACCCGGGGGACGTGGGGACCTGGGGACACGGTGGCGGGACCTGCCCGCACATCCCTCTCCACCCCCGGGCACCGGGACCCCCGACGGACGGACACCCCCGGCAGCCGCAGCCGGCGCCCCCCGCGCCCCCCGCGCCCCCGCGCACTCACCGGGGCGGCCGAGCCGGGCGGCCCCGCGGGGCTGCGGAGCCGAGCGCGGCCCCGGGACGGCGCCGCCTCCTCGGGAGGAGCCGGGCCGGGCCGGGCTGCGGGCACGGCCCCCGCCGAGGGGCGCACGGCGGCGGCCGGGCCCGCCCCGGCGCGGAGCGGGACCGCCCGTGGGCGTGGGGGGATCCCCGCGGCCCCACGCAGCGTCCCGCCGCCGCTCCCCGCCCCGCAGCTCCGGTGGGACGTGTCCCGGGACCGGCTCCTCCCCAATCCCGGCACTCTCAGAGTCGGGCTGAGCTGAGCTTTAATGACGGAAAAGAAGCGACGGCGACTCCCGGACACGGACCCACATCCCGGGGCACGGCCGTCATGGTCAGGCCCGGCTCCGGCCAGAGCCCCGGGGCGACCCCCGGGGCGGTGGCACCGGGCAGCGGTGAGGAGGGGGCGGGTTAAGCCACCCCGCGCTGGGGGGATTCGTCCCTGTTAGAAGCAGCCCCATAGGGGCGGGAGGGAGCTGGGGGCGCTTCATCCCCGTGGGGGGACCCGGCGGGGACACAGCGCGGCCGAGGCGGGCCAGGGGGAGCCCCCGGCCCCGTTCCTCCCCCCGGGGTCCCCCATGGCCGCGGGTCACACCGGCGCCACGTAATTCCCGGGGAAAGTGCCGAATTTCTGCGTCCTCCTGGACACTCCTGTGGGTACAAAGACGCGGAGAGGTGGTGAGGGGCGAGGGTGGCACCTTGTCCCCATCCTTGTCGCCAAGGCGGTGGCCACGCACCCACGAACCAGCCGTCGTCGCATTGCTGCATGACATCCACGCGGTCCCCTTCCAGCAGCTCCAGCTCGTCGGCGTTTTGGGGCCGGTACTGGTAGAGCGCCCGGTACCTGCGAGACAAAGCATGGGCAGAGCCCACCCACCCCACGGGTCCCTCGTGGGGCCACGGCGCCCCGGGGACGCTCCCGGCGCTGCTTACGGAGTCCACCGGATTTCGGAGCCGTTGTAGGACGGGGCGGGCTCGGGGCGGGCGCTGCTTTGTGCCGCGGGGGTCGGGCGCTGTGGGGGGACAGGGTGGGCTCAGGGCGGCACCCCCGGCCCCAGGGTGAGGGGCACGATGCCAGGGTGGGGGGCACGATGCCAGGGTGAGGGGCACGATGCCAGGGTGGGGGGCACTCACCTGCTCGGGGGTCCAGGCGGGACGCCAGGGCTCCTGGGGCTGGGCGGCCGCAGGGTGTGGGGGGCTGGCAGGAGCCACCGAGGGGCTGGGGGTGCCAGCGTGGGGCAGCTTTGGGGAGGGGGGGAAGGTGGCACCGAGGTGGCGCGGAGAGGACGGGCGCCCGTCCGTCACCCCGGGACCCCGCTTCGCTTCCCGGGGGGAACCTGCGGGAGCCTGCGGGATGCGGGGGCCGGGCGAGCGCTGCAGGGACGGGGACCCGGCGGCGGGCCGGGGGCTGGCGGGGCCGGGAGAGGCGGGGATGTCCTCGGCGGTGCTTTTGACCCGCGGCTCCTTCAGCACCTGGACGTAGGTGGCGGGGAAGATGCCCTGGCGGCTGGTGCCCGAGATCCGCCCCTCGTACCAGTTCTCGTTCACCCGCCGCACCAGGCAGATCCGCTCGCCCTGCCGCGGGAGCGGAGGGCGGGTCAGCACAGAGCGGCACGGAACGG